GGAGTGTCCACATTATCTATTCCTTGATGGAAAGAGGCAATTACCTCTTTGCTGCTTCCTTCTAGCAAGAAAACACTGGACCAACCTTAGAAGGAAGGAGTCAGATTATGGTCCACAACCCTTTGCTGCAGGAGCGATTGAATAGGTAATTCGGCATAGTTTTCTTGCTGAATCGGTCATGTCATTGTCAGTCGCTCTGGAATCCTGCTCTGTGATAGGGGTCTGAGGTCTGAAGAATCACTTTCAAAGGTAAATGAATTTATCTCTGCATCTCTGATCAACAAAAACTGAAATTCAACACTGTAGTAATGGAAATGGCTGAATGAGTAATAGATAGTTGCAAAAACTGCATCTCAGTATATAAAGCCTTATTTGAAATCCACCCATCCTCTATACCCCTTGTTCCTCACCAGGGAGCTGGAGGCTATCCCAGCTGACTGTGGGCAGAAGGCAGGGACACACCCTGGACAGCTCACCTATCCATTGCAGGGTATACACACTATTCACTCACACATGCTCAAGGGCAATATAGTGTCTCCGATTAGACTGATAAGCATGTCTTTGGACTGTGAGAGGAAACCAGTGTAAACACAAGAAGAATGTGCAAACTCTACACTGAGAGGTCCGAGACCAGATTCAAACTCGCATCCTTTTTGCTATGAGCCAGCAGTGCTAACCACTGTGCCACCCCTTTATGCGAAACGCATTATTAATTTTTAGAATGTCATCCACGGTCATTTGAATCACGATGGATATAATGTAAATGCTATTGCTGATAGACAAACAAAAATCTGTTTATTTGAAACGTTTGTGAAATATGATATACTACAGACAAAAGCTTTCATTTTGTTCAGTTTGCCACATACCATCTGGTCATTACCAGAGTTGGGACTGATGTTTCCATAATAAACCACAAAGCTGCTTCTCAGGAACTGTCTCATGGGAGATGACAGGCAGAAGCTGGCTGTTAAATTATTATTAACAGAGGTGTTGAGTCACAAAGCAGTGGACAGATCTGAAGCAGACTGGAATACAGTGGACATGTATGCTTTAATATCAGCAGTCTGGAATCTATCTCAGATGCATTCAATAACTATGTGGCTTCCCAGCTTTGGTGTCTCACTTTGGTAGGCTGCACAGGAAGGGTAAGGATTTTTCAAACAATGTCATGAAAACAAAAGTAGCAAAGTCATGCTGCATTATTAGAGTGCATGAAATAATCTTTACTGCTGTCCTACATTTCACAAATCAGCTGGCTTTTCATTACTAAGAGACATAATTACTGCCTGTCTGCTAAGGCTCTTAATGTTCAGGTGTTACAGCCTTTCAGCAGTCCTTGGATCTTTCTGTATATGGTCTGTGAATAAGTCTGTAACTATCACATTGCAATGCTTATTTTTCTACTGGGAGATGGGCGAAAATGTCTTTAAAGTGTATTTAGTTATAAATTAAAGGTTATCCCCTAACAGATAATGAAAGCGTGCAATTCAAAGTAAAGCTCTTCCTTCCTGTCAGTACAGACAACTTAGCAAGCTATTGCCTGGTGTTTTCTCTTTAATAATGTCTACCTACTTTTTTTTTTTTTTTTTTTTTTTTTAGAAATGCAGGGTAAGAAACTTTTGTTCTTTGATCATTTTGGTCAAGATAGTCGCGCACTGCACAAATCCCCTGTGTCTCAGACAGCACTATGGACTATTACTACGTAAGAATCCTTCAACTTCCTCATTCAGAAGCAGTATTAGCTCTTATCGGATTTTGGAGCTTTTAGCAGAAAAAGAATCGGTTCTTCCAGCTTTTGCCTACTGCCACACTAATGTTTTATTAGATACTCTCAATTAATAAGAAAGAGGGTGTAAAAGAGACTGGGTGTACTAAAGCTTTTGAAAAGTCTCCTGGCACTATTGGGGAATGTCACTTAGAGCTTTTGTCTACATAGTCCATAAGTCTGTAGCACATAGAACCACTGCATATCCTTCCTTCAAAACCTTTAGGACACAATTAGCAACACAAACACACGATAGCACACATTGAAAATAACCAAAGTAATCACATCTGGCAGTTGTGTAACAACCTTGAACCAGTGTCCTCACACACTGCCATTCAAGCAAAATTCTCAAAAAAACACAAGGTCTAATTCAGCAAATGCTGTCATCAGCATTAGCCTCCTGAACTTGAGCTCGGACTGACTTCTGACAACCTCCTGCAAAGGTTAAGCCAGCTTTATGAGAGTGCACTAAAGAACCTTTGATGTAGGGTCACTCCCGACAATACTGGTCAGAGATGTTTCAGACGTCCCTCTGAAGCATTCCAGATGTCACTTGTTCTTTTACTGTTAGAAATGAGATCACAGCGAGGGGCTGATGATGGTGTGTTGGGTGAGAGGACCTGAATACAGTGATCTGAACCTTACTGAGCATGTCAGAGTTGCCCACATCCTGCTGATTGGCATTTTATCCTTCGCCACATCCATCTGAAAGCAGAGGGATTTTAACAAGGTTGAACAAATCCAGCTTCAGTTTGGATATACGCAGGGCAGAGAGTGAAAAGGGCTGATATGACGCAGTAAATTTCAAAGGTTCTAAAACCCGATTGTCCTCGTCGTAGCAACTTCGGACTCAATTGCGGAAGCATGCAGAATAAAGTTTAGATATTGATCTGCCGACAGCCCAGTGAGTGAGTGAACGAGTGATTCATTTGTATATCTGTGCCCCCACAACAACACATTTCTAAGCTTTGCATATCCACAAAATAAGAAGGGATAAAAAAAAAATTAGGCCATCAAAAAAAATGCTGTGTTTTTGCTTTCTGTGTTCTTGAGGGAAGGTCAATGGCTCAATAGGTGGTGTCTTGACAGGGCACAGGAACCAGGAGCACACGCAAAAAAAAAAAAATTGTGTGAATATTTTTTACAGTATAGCTTATTTGCAAGATCATTTCAATTATATCATGTCTTGTGGGTCAAAGTGGGCAGCCTTATTCTACTTGGTGTGGCTGGGGAGGTCTCACATTTAGAGGAGAAGGGAGATGGGGAGGGGGGCAAGGGCTGACCTAACCGCAGGTTGCCCCACTGAGTGGGGGAGAGGGGTATCTGGATAATCCATCAAATACCACTCTATCAATGTTTGTACAGGAGTACTGTAATAAGTACCATTGCTCACGACAACAAAATGCCACCAAATAAACCTCTATTCATTCATACAAATTTATAGTTTTGCAGAGAAGTTTTTTTCTGGGTTGTGTGAAATCATTAAGAATTATTTAAATCCTTTAAATATTTAAAGTTTATATTATTTCGTAGTGTAGTAGTCATCGCGTTCACCTCACACGCGAAAAGAGCCCGGTTTGATACAGGGTGGAAACACTGTTTACATCACTGATTTGAAAGTGATTTATCTCTGTGATCTGGAGTTCTTCTCAAATGTGCACTGCATTGCTGCATCACTGCATTACGGACCAAGGTTGACATCAATGATGTGCAGTAAATCAATGCTATCTCTCAGCTTTATGCATTCAGCATGGAGTTCATACCTTAGGAAAGGCTGCAAACAACTATTATTAGAAACACTGCCAGTCAGCATCCGACGACCATCGGATGTACACGGTAGCTTTCTTTTTCTGTAGTGCTGTGGTTATCACATTTGCTTGACACGCGAAAGGTCCCGGACCAATACCAAGTGATAACGCTATTTTCATATCAGCATATAAATGAGAAAGATTCAGCTCTGTGACCTGATAACTGCAATGCAGATAATGCCTCGTAATTCTGCTGCAGTCCACATACTGTGGCAAAGTCAAAAGCTGTCAATCTTCAAATATGCTTCTTCGTCTCTAATTCACTCAACTCTGAGAGGAAACTCAGATGGTTCAACATCCTCTGGTCTGGGTGAAGTGCCGAATGGAATATTGCTCTTCCAGCAAAGTGTGCACAACTCTTTGTAGAGTCCCCTTCATCACTGATCAAATCTCAGACTGCTTTTTGTTCAAACAATGAGTACTTAAGAACAACAGACTGCATCGCTGTAACTGACTTAACCCTTAAATGCCCCCTCTGACAAATTTGTCACACGATTTTGGGGGTTGTCAAAACCACTGACCCCACATAAATTTTGCAACCTAATGCCCATAGTGACATATTTAGACCATCAGTGCTGCCATCTGATGCATAAAAGTGGAACTGACACTACACTGGCTGCACCAGCTAACCTTTCCAATATGGCCGCCCCCATGGTGGAATCCACACGATAGATCAGCACCCATTCATCACTGGATAAAGTAGACAAACAGGTAAGCTAATGAAAAATAAGCTATGCCTAATACTTCAGCCATATGTCAACTACCAAAACAATGATGGACAAAAGTTCTCTTTATATCCTAGAAACTTACCGTGACATATATGTCACAAAACTAAAATGAGGTCAAAGGTCACCAAAAATTAAAAATTGCTATTGGGTTGTTATTAGCCCCTCCCCAAGACATATTAACAGAATACATAGATTTTTCTTTCAACTTTTACTATAGTTGGGCATTTAAGGGTTAAGGACTGGAATTGTGTAGAGTGATGAGCAAGATCACCTGTCTAGAAAATCCACGGTATGGCATAGGTTGAAGCATTCAGCATGCGGTTCATGCCCATGGACAGGACGTTATAGCAACATTAATTTGCAGGACTTGCAGTCAGGATCTGGCGACCGGCAGCTGATCAAGCAAAGCATCTCTCTGTTTCCGTAACGTGGTGGTAATCACATTTGCCTTATATGCGAAAACACTACGTTTACATCTTCACTGGCAAAACCATGATTCAACTATGTGACTGCATTGCTCCAACTTCGCATTATGGACTGAGGTTGACATCAATGATGTGCAGCAAATCAATGTTATGCCTATGCTTTATGCATTCAGCATGCAGTTTATAGCTTATACAAGGATGCAAGCAACTATGAATAGAAACCCTGTCAGTCGGAATCTGGGGACCATCAGCTGAAAGTACTTGGCAGCTTTTTGTTTCCGAGGTGTAGTGGTTATAACTTTTGTCTAACACGCGAAAGGTCCTCAGAACGATACCGGGAGGAAATGCTCTTTTTATATCAGCACTGACATTAGAAAGATTCAACTCCGTGACGTGAAGACTGCACTGTAAATAATGCCTCATAATTGAGTCCCTATGAACCATACCGGGCCAACCCATGTTGGGGTACTTTTGAATGGTATTCAAAGCTGCCTGCCTCCTGTGTCATCTAGAGTAACTGGCAACAAGATACACTGCATATGTTACAAACTCAAGATGTGTAAAATTATGTACATGCACTTCTTATGCAGGTTTTGGATGCCCCAAATCATCATTTAAAGTGCAACCTACCTCCTTCTGAGGAGGAACCATCATCTTCTGATTCATTTAGGACAAACTCTGGGTCTCTGTCATCTTCCACTTGATTCTTTGATTTACCTCATAGCTAAAAAATTGTGAACAATCAGACATGGCACAGATACCCCCAAAACTTTCGGGCAATCTTCCCAGCGACGGAATGATGACAATGCTGCCCCCTAGTGACAAGAGGGACGAGCACGCACAAATGCAACTTTCTTAGGGTATGTTCCTTCTCTTTTTCATCAAATTCACGCCTCCTTGGCATATCTAATGATAATGTTTAACAACTGACAGAGTAGTTTTTCACTTGCCACATTTTAAAAGACCAGATCAAGTGAAGAGAACCAAAATGATGAAATTGGATTTTGCCCTAGTGACAAAATCTTGATTTTAGATTTTTTCATTCCTGAAATGACATGAACGTCTCTCAAAGACCTAATTTTGCATTTTGCCCTCTTGTGAGGAGGCATCAGACACTTTTTTTAACACTTCGACATCATAAACATACATAATTTGTACCATGGCCATAAAATTAAGGTGGTGCTTTTTTAATGCTGGTCAGAATATACTGGTTACATTTAGCAATTAATCCATAGTTCACATGCATATCAACCTATGGGGGAGGATCCAAATGGATCATGGATCAACAAAACCAGTACCAAGTAGAGGTCAGTGCCACTCTGTCACCGTTAATAGAGACTCCAGCCTACAGTGTAATTCATGCTAGTAAAGTTTTGAAATTGATGTCCAGGGGCCTCATTTATAAACAGTGAGTAGGCACAAAAAAGATACGTACATCACCATACTTATGGGGGTAAAATTGTCTCAAAAAAAATTTATATATATCAAATATTCATACATTTATAAATATACAAATACAAATATACAAATATAAAAACGTGACATACAAATAAACTTATTTGTATAAATAAATGTATATTTGTAAGTATATTTTGGAGATTTGAAAATAAATTCAATGCATTTGAATGCATAGTTCATTAGGAAAGATGATTACGAACAAGTCAGGACTAATAGAAGTTGTAAAGGGATGTTCCTGGCCCACGTTCTGGCTACGCCACTGTAGCTGCTCATTGTATCAATACTGTTGAATGACATTTTCCAGATGTAGATACTGATCTCTTATCAGTGCAATGTGTGTAAAATAATCCAAAATGAGTAATACTTACAGTGGATCCTGCTTGATCTCTGGCTGCTTCATCCATGTTCAGAGACATGAGACTGACGATTACCCAGCTGTGGCTGCACCACACTGCCCTCTGCTGGTTGTTTAGGAGAGGGTGTATTCATTTATTTGTGGATCGAGGTGCGCGGCAGGAACGTCTCAAAATGACGTCATCGAGAGAAAACCCAAAAAGCGATCCACAAATGCAGAATCCACACACAAAGTCAAGCACATTTATTTTCACATCTCAAAAATATATTTACAAATATACGTTTATTTATGCAAATAAGTTTATTTATTTGTCACGTTTTTATATTTGTATATTTGTATTTGTATATTTATAAATGTATGAATATCTGTACATTTTATTTTGATATATATAAATCTTTTTGAGACAATTCTACCCCCATAATCACTTTCTTTGCACATTTTTGATTTATAAAAACAAACTTGACATTAAAAAAAGGGAAATTATTAAGATTATGCACAATATCAAGAAATTCCAAGTCCAGCCTGATTAAATAAATGAAAATTCCACGCAGTTTATTTTACCCATAGGTTTATGAATTACTAGGTTATTTTCCATAAAATGTCATTTTTTTTTGTGCGTACATATTATTTAGGTATGAAATCCATGCAAATTTTTATAAATAAGGCCCCAAGACAGCAAATTAGTGCTTAAATTCTTTAGCAAATGATGATTGGACTTAAGTGACACGTACCTCCCCCTTGACCACCAAAGCCATTTTTATGCGTCAAACCAAGTTACTGAACAAGGTTGTGATGTCCAAAGTGAAGACCCGCCCTTATGAGAGGACTGTCAGATTGCATTTTCATTTTCATGTTTACCCTAAAAGAGCATGCTGACATGTAAATGGAAATCCACTACAGCGGTAGCAATGATACTGAATTTGAAAATATCCAGTGTAAGTCTTTGAGTCGTGTTCATTTTCATTTGCATATTGTCAGAAAATTAAATTGTATTTTACTTGTCATGCTGACCCTTAAAGACGCTGGTGACATATAAATGTAAGTGCAATAGACTCAGGGTGCTGTTTTGGGTATTGCATTTGAATATCATCCACTGTACAGTACAGTGGGGTATAACCTTGAAAATTAAATGTCCAACTGCTTTTCCATATTCATTTTAATGTTGTCATACAACATCCATATGAATATGAGAAAATGAAAGTGCTGATGGAATTATTTTATTCTCATTTCAAATTTTACATAAATAACACATGTGGAAAATGATAATGTTATTGTGGAATTACATTTTCACCCTCAAGTTTACATTATCATTATAATATAGTCCCCTTTTGGCTTCCGTTGCCTGTCACGGCCAACTGAAATTTGCAGTAATGCTGCCAAATAGGGAGTGAGGCCATATCTGAATAATGCTTTCATGTATCAAAACCAAACTTGAAATGTGAACTCAGGACCCCATTTTGAGGAAGCACATAAATTTGCATAATTTGACATCTATGGGGAGCTGCAATAATCAAAAATGTGTTTTCGTTAATAACGGCTTATGTGTTTATATTAGAAAATAATTATTGTCTCTGGTAATACCATGGGAGGTGCTAAGGCCCAGACATGGCAATTTGATTTATCTAATTGTTCTGGCTGCCATGTTAGATTTTATTAGAATATTTACAAATTTCTTGCCGGCCACAATTTTTTCCCCCAATTTTCACCAAATTTACAAGAGATGATCTTCAGAGTGAGTCACACAAAAGTTTTTGGACGAATTTCAGATTTTCAAAACCATTTGTCCGTCACGGACAAGTTGAATGCGAACAACCCAAACGAGAAATGAACAAATTTTTCAATTAATCACAATCTTTGCTTAATTCACTTAAACTTACAATCAATGCTCACAGTCATGCTTTTAACATGATCACATCAAGTTGTCATGGCAACTCTGCCCTGCTGGACTGCTTGGCCCCCTCATTGCTGTTTGCAGGTATGTTTGTTCTTTTTACATTTATTTTTCCCTTTCTCCTTCATTATACAAAGTGTATTGTTTTGGTATTATTTTCAGCTAGATTAGCAAAGTGTCTCAGTTCTTTAGCAATTACCTGACTGGAGGTAGTCATTTCTGTAGTGAGCCAGCAGCCACCAGTGTGGGAGCGAGGCATGTACTGTCAATCTGTTGATCAACCCATAGGCGAAAAGTGGACCCCAAGACAAACTTTGAATGACAGCCCCTCATTAGTATAATGAATCAAAAGAGCATGAAGAAGTTGAAAACGATTATTCAAAAATAAAGAAGCTGGCAAAATAAAATCAGTGCTGTGAAAAATTATTTGCGCCCATCTCGATTTCCTTTATTTTTGCACATTTGTCACACTCCCTGAACATTCCACCTTTTTTTACCTCCCAAACTAATGTATTTTCTGCTCTTATACCTCTTTGACTACTGTCATAAACATGGCCTATTCTGAAAGGTGACACTCAGTGGATTCTTCTCAGATAGTCAGAATTACTGAGAATAATACCAAATTGAGTTGCCGATCCGGAAATGTACATTTTTGTTTGGCAGAAAAAGATGTCACATGTATTTTCATGACAACTGTGGATGCAGGGGATTCTTGTAATTCTTTGATGGTGGTTTTGGTCCAGATCTGACCAATGGAAAATCAAAAAATACAACTGGAAATTAATATACAGTTGAGAACAGGGTGATAACATACTGCAGTAATTACCTTTGGCATGAATAGGACGCTGTTAAAGGACAACTTGCAGAATCCTTTTATCGACAGCCATCCTACAATGCTCTGGTCCTATGATGCAGGGCTTTGTCTGACAGTGTCCTGACCCAATAGCATGTATGATTGAAGAGTGGGAAAGACGTAGTGAAACAGCTTCTAGATGCTGGGAACAATTTTGCTTTGTGTTACAGGCTCTTTTCATTTCATGGGCAAATAGACATACTTTTCTCACGTCAAACCAAATTCTTTCTGACAGACAAAAAAAAAATTCTTTGGAAGTTCTGCACGGAATTCAAGTAAAGAATCGAGTTTGCAGTCAAATACAGAAGGCAAACATCCATCAGCTTTTTTGAGTAAACCAAGCTCAGAGTGTATCATTCACTGCCCTTCATTTTTTGTTCTCTGTACATGTTTCAACTTTGGCCAGGAGAGGGCAGTCTTACTCCATGTTGGATCGTTGGCCTCGTAAATTGCGGAAGACAGAAAACACCTCGGAGACTGAATAAATATTCCACACATCAATTAAAGGGCATCTAAAGTCGATTCCTATTGTTTTTGTTTATCGGCCAATCAGAAAGCCGCACCTGCGCAAACGAACCGAAATGGAAGGATTATCTAAGCAGGTACGCAAAACATTGGTTCATATGAATGAAATTGTTCATGTGACAATGCAAGATGTCAACAAAAGCAAGTGATTTGTAAACATAGGACGTTCAATGTCCCGTCTGAGAATCGACTTTAGATGCCCTTTTACCATTTAAGCAGCGAATTCATCGCTTATAACAAATGAATATGCAAACATTTCATCTTG